AGTCAGGGACACAGGCCGGATACAGCGTGAAAAATGGTCACGGAAATGTATTCTCTTCCCACCTTCAATCCACCCCAAGAATTCACGTCATCCCTTTGGTAGTGAATTCTGAGGCCTTTCCACTCCAAGGTCCTGGCACGCGTTGCCTAGGTTACCTTGCACCTCCGCCGGTCGGCTGAGAGCCACGCCCATCACACCCTCGTTAGGATCTGATTGGCTGGTTACGCCAGGCCTAGTACTCACCTGGCAGTTCCCTCATTAGGTAGAAGGGACCACAACCAGCTGCTGACTTGTCGGCGCCGGGAGGGGCCGTGACCACGGTGGGGGGCGGAGCCGTACCGGCTCCCCCGCCTGGAGGAGGGGGTGGCGGGGGTGGAGGTTTTCCTGGTCCGAAGCCGAGTGCTGTTGGGGGCGGTGGTGGGTCAGCCTGAGCTCCGAACAGCGCCGTGAAATTCTCCATCTTCCCCTCTACCCAGGCGCTGTCCGGGTGTCTGGCGCTGGTGATTTTCATTGGACAATCTTTTCACGTTGTACCTCCGTGAGCCGCTTGTCATTGGATGCCTCGGGACCCGCCTACTTTTTTCCGGCCACTACTTCCGTCGCTTTATGAGCACGTTCAGGAAGTGCTATCTAATCCTATTAAATTCTCTGTTGTTTCCGCTCGCAACAGTCGCATATCCAATAAAATGACTTAGGTGGAAAAAGCGACAGCTAGGTTGACCAATAAAGTATGAAATCAGTTTTTCAGTTTCTCCCTACTGTAGCGTCCACTCATAGATATACTTCCGGGTCTTGAGGCGGTGCATCCGAAACTAGGCCCAATGGACGTCTCAATGATTAGAGAGGCGGGGCCAGACCTACCGACCCTGGAGAGCGGCTAGTGCCCAGGGCCAAGAAGATGGCGGTCCTGGCACCTTTAATTGCTTTGGTGTATTCGGTGCCGCGCCTTTCACGGTGGCTGGCCCGACCTTACTACCTTCTGTCTGCCCTGCTCTCTGTTGCCTTCCTACTCGTGAGGAAGCTGCCCCCGGTCTGCCACACTCTCCCCACGCAACGCGAAGATGGCAACCCGTGTGACTTTGACTGGGTGAGCGACCCCCACCTTAGGACCCCGCGACCTTGACTGTCCTCCCCCAACCCCGCACCCCGATTGCATCCGGAGGCCCCGAGGTTCACCTCTTTGAGAACTCACACCTGAAGTTTTGAGCCTGTAGCAGACTTACCATTAAGAGCATAGGGCCTGGACAGGCATCGAGTCTAAATCTCTTCATGTTTAATTAAGATGGGAAAACAGCAGGTTAGCCTGCACAGCAGCCCGGGCCTTCTAACTCTTGAGTTCAGGGTTCTTTCCATCTTACCATTGATATTCGTCGACAGCACTACCCAAACTCTACACACGTATGTACAGTCTTTTACAGTGCTGCTCATATGTAAAGCCACTTAAGGAGCCGGGTAATTAAACAAGGCAAGTAGTATTTCCGTTTTATTGGTGGAGAAATGATCTCGGCGTGATTAGGAGACTTGCCCTAGGTCACACACCTAGTGAGTGACTGGGATTGCAAACCACTCTTCTGGCCATAGTACCTGCACACTCATCACCCATTTCTTAGTTCAGTTAACATTTCCTGAATGAGCGCTGTATAGTAGGCACTTGTGCTGCATCCCGAGGATGGAAAAATGAATAAAATTGTTAGGCTTATCGAAAAGGAACTGTAAAACATTGTAAAGAAATCTGTCCCAAGCCTCTTGCTGTACTTCCTGAGTAAGAGTGAAGAGACCGGGCCAGCTGAGTAGCTCAGTTGGTTAGGAGCTCTTTCAAGAGTGCGAGCTCTGAGCAACAGTGGTTCGAGTCATGGCCCGAGCTGGGCAGCCGCTGAGCTGCCAACAGGTGGCAGGATGGCTCAGCTAAAAAAAAAAAAGAGTGAAGGGACCACACAAATGAATTGAAGCTCTGTGCCCTCTGCTGTATAGCAGCATCTGTGTTCTGAGGAAGGAGGGTAACCCTGATTTTTTTGTTTTTTTTCCAGTTCCCCCAAAATAAGCCTTGAACTTGACCAGAATCCACTCCCTTACATTTAGCCTTCATCCTACTCTTTCATACTTCTCTGCCCTTTCCCAGACAGTATTATTAATTAGCTCAAGTGTAGCCATGCTACTTCAAAAGATCCTATTTTTATCTGATATTCTATACCACTTTAACCAAAATGGGACTCAAAAATATAAGTGGAGGGAGCATTTGAGGTCTAGCTTCCCAGCGGTGGCCATCAGTTTGGGCTCAAACAAACTGATAAAAATTCTCTTAAAAAAAATACACACACACACACACACACACACACACAGAGTGCCAAAAAAATGTATACACATTTAAGAAAGGATAAAACTATATTAAAATTATACAATGAATGACGCTAGCATTCATTTGATTAACGCCATCTTTTGCGTGAATGTCATACTATGCATTGCTACTAATTCAATTCAAGAATTTTTTTAAACTACAGATGGTCCTTGACTTACTATGGTTCGACTTACGATTTTTCAGGTTTAGGATGGTGTGAAAGTGATATACATTCGGTAGAAACCATGCTTTGAATTTTGATCTTTTTCTAGGCTAGTAATACGTGTTATGATACTCTTGTCATGATTCTGGGCAGTGTCAGTGAGCCATAGCTCCCAGCTACCCATGCCAACAAGAGGGTGAATAACCGATACTCTTCTTTATAGTATTAAATACATTTTCAACTTATGATATTTTCAATCTTAATGATAGGTTATCGGGTTCATTGTGAGTCGTAGAGCATCTCTACTTAGGGTTGATACCCAGTGTTTTCCCGGAAAATCTGTGTGTTACTGAATCACCTTGGTGATTGGGAAGTTAGGATATTAAAGTAAATAATGTTAGCAGTAATAGGTAAACATCAAATTTTCAGTGGCTTAACAGAATAAAAGTTTTATTTCTATTTTCTTAAAAGCAAAGAATCTGGGGCCGGCCGAGTGGCTCAGTTGGTTAAGAGCTCACTCAAGAGTTTGAGCTCTGAGCAACAGCAGTTCGAGTCCCAGCCTGAGCTGAGCAGCTGCTGAGCTGCCAACAGGTGGCACAATGGCGCAGCTTAAAAAAAAAGAAACTAAGAATCAAGCAGTTTACTTTTCCTATATAGTGTCTCAGCATAACCAAATAATTAATAAGGGAATGTTGGTTTCTTAATAGAAGAATTTGGGCTAATAAATACAGAAGGAATGATCGAATTTAAAAGTCATCTAGAACCCCCTAATAATAAATCTAGGCAATGATCACCTGTGGATGCTAAAACCATCAGATGGAAGGTTGCTATGTCCTCTGAAGGGATGGAATAGAGAGTATCTAACACCACCTACAATGTATTTTTGGTGAAAGATTTGGATTTTATTGTATTCAAACCTCTAGATTTCATTGCACTTTACAAGAAATGTGGGAGATAGATAGATCATCATCAGAACAAATACCATAAGCATGCAAGCAGCCAAACTCAGAAAGCGGGAAAGTTGACAGTACAACTGACTCAATTTCTTCTACAGATAACTATTGGGTTGTCGGGAAAGTCATGATGTATTTTTTCTATGTTTTTCATTGCAAAAATGCGTCATGACTTTTCCAACAACCCAATAGCTTGCGATAAAAAAGAAGGGCAGGTATCCTTTAGAGATTAAGGAAGACCTTAATCAGCTAGAGTCAATGTGTGCATCTTGCTTGCTTGTTCCTGATTTGAACAAGCAACCTTACAGAGACAATTGGAGATAACTGGGATCATTTGAATAAGGACCAAGTATTAGGTGACATTAAGGAATTACAGTAATACCTTGGTTTGCAGCATAATTCATTCTGGAAACAAAGTACTCATATTGCAAGACATGTTACCATGTTTACCATGTTAAAATGTTTTAGAAATGTTTGCTTGTCTTGTGGAACACTCGCAAACCAAGTTACTCACAATCCAAGGTTTTGTGTTAGGTATGAAAATGGTATTTTGGTTTGTAAAAAAAAAAAGGTCCATATCTGTGAGATACACACAGAAGTATTTACAGGTGAAATGATATAGTTGGAATTTGCTTTAAGTTTCTCCAGCAAAAAAAGTGGGTAGCATAGATGAAATGGAAGCATTTTGGCAAAATGTTACTGTTGAAGCTGAGTAATAGAGGTTCATTAAAGTATTGTAGAGGAAGAAAAATAATTTTCCCTCTGTTCTACTGAGGTCTGGCTGAGACCACTGTAATAAAAGACAGATTAATCCAAGACAAAAGACACAGAAGTCTCTTAACATATATACCTCATGTATACCTGGGAGATACCCAGGGAGAAATGAGTGACTCAAAGAGTTGGCTTAGTACTCTGGCTTATGTAGCATCTTCAACAAAGAAAAATAAATTTATGGAGAATTGACTGGACAAAGAATGCAGTTTTAGGCTTCCAAGGGCAGCAAACTGGGGGGAGGTAAACTAATGGTAGATAAAGACTAGTTTGTTATATAGACTCTTCTGATGCTATCTTCTGGCCGATAGGGTTTAAAGTTATCTCTCTTGATTAACTTTTGTCCTTCCTGGGAGAGAAGGTTGGAGGGACACCTTTGAAAATTTATGCCCTGCTTTTAGACAAAAACAGGGAGAACAGGGAGCTTTTCTTGTATCTAGTTCTTCTAAATTGTCTTTAGGCTCAAAATAATCCTTTTATCAAAGTGGCATATTTCGGGGTGGCATATTCTGCAACCCTTCAGTATCCTCTCTAGCGTCTGTTTGAAATTTCCTTTAAAAAAGTTTTAAAACAATGAACAAACAAGCAGAACAACCAGAGGGGCTCTGCTTCATACAGTTATTCGGGAACCCAGTCTCATACCGTCTTCAACCCATGGCCTTAAGGTTATCCCAGTATCATCCAGTCAGAAGATGAAGAAAGAAAGCTGGAATGCAGGGACAGACCCTTTCTTACTGCCTGTGCAGAAGTGTCACATCACTTCCACTCACATTCCATTCAGGAGTGTTAGTCACACAGTTCTACCTAGATGCCAGGAGACCAAGAGAGTCTGTCTAGCTGCAGTCTGCTTAGGAAGAATAGGAAATAAGGTTTGGAGTATACATAGCCAGTATTCACCATAGACCCATTCTGTCATTAGAGAATATTCCTTTTAGTCCTATCTTTGGTCTCCTGATTAACCAGTTCTCTTTTTAAATTAATCTTTCCACAATTGTAAGTCCCAATTCTAACCCAATTTCATTTGTGAAAACTCTTCCTAATCTCTGCTCAGGTATAATATTTAGAAAGGCCTGCATCTTCTGTAATTCCCACTTTACATGTCCATTTCTAAATTCAGTCAGTTACTTTTTGTTGGAGACTGAGGCTAAAATATGTCCCTGATTCCTAACTGTAAATCCCAGTTGATTGGTTCTGTCTGAAATAATGATTTGGGCCCCTGTATTATAAACAGAAAGCTATGGACGGCCTCAGACCATTCCATCTATAGTTGCCCTCCTACGCTTTCTCTCACGTGGCCCTTGTTATTCCTCATTGCAGTCTTTGCTCTTTAAAATGATCTTGTTTCTTTGTCATGTGTATCGTCTGTCTCAATTTGCTCCAGTGGAGCTTACATTCTAGAATGTGAGAAAGAGCATAAGCCAAGGGTACTGAAAAGGGCCTTTGAGAGCCCTTAAAAGGCTTCCTTAACCTCTCAAATTATATCAAAGATGCATGGATTATCACTATGCATATTGGATGGAGAGGAATGATTTAAGCAAAACCAAGCAAATGGAATATTACTGAGACGTTTCCTTGGAAATTTTTTTTTTTTTACCAAGATCAAGCTGAGTTGGTTGTAATCTCTCACAGTTTTATACCATATTTATGCAGCTCTTTCATACCCATTATCACTTAATCTTCACAATAGCATTTTGAAACAGATATTTTTCAGTCGAGAAAACCAAAGCTCAGTGGTTAAGTGATTTGCTGAAAGGCACCAGCCAGCTTGTGACAGAGCCTGAACCTAGGTCTTCTGCCTGGTGTTTTTCCCACTTTGCCTTAGCAGTTACATCTTTACTGTCACCATTCCCAGTTTGCATCTCTGTTGGTTTTTATCCCATACTTGGCTCCCTTTCCCATCCAGATCGTCTCTTTGACGGCGTTCCTGTCACTTTGGTTTTGTTCCAGAGAGAAGTAGAGATCCTGATGTTTCTCAGTGCCATTGTGATGATGAAGAACCGCAGATCCAGTGAGTTCAGCCTCCCTCTCGGTTGCCCAGGGGCAGGCCCGAAGCCCCGCCCCCCCAGGCGCTTCCGTTCATGTTAGGAGAGGGGCGTTACCTGGTGAACTTGTCCCTCGTTCCATGCCAAGGCTGAATTCCATCTTAGGCTTTTATCCCCCTCCCTGCCTCCCATTTCACAGTACTCCAGATAAAGGGACAAAGAATGGGCTCTAGGAACATGCAGCCCCACCTGACCTGTCGCATCTTTGTGTTTCAGTCACTGTGGAGCAGCATATAGGCAACATCTTCATGTTTAGTAAGGTGGCCAATGCAATTCTTTTCTTCCGCCTGGATATTCGCATGGGCCTGCTTTACATCACACTCTGCATAGGTAAGGACACTACAAGATGGGGTTGTGGGAACCAAATCCAGTCCCCAGCCAGTTTCTCCATACCTTTCTTCCATATCTTGTACCTAATTAATTATGTGTGTGGCTCAGACGATAAGAATCTGTGGAGACTAACAGGAAGGGAATGTGTCCGTGGTCTGTGAATGCCCATAAAGTGTGTTCTTTGGTGCTTGAAATCTTTGAATTGGTTTGAAAGTAAATCCCCTCCCTGAGGCCTTATATGTTTCCTCCGACATCTTTTTTCTGTTTAGTGTTCGTGATGACGTGCAAACCTCCTCTGTACATGGGCCCTGAATACATCAAGTACTTCAATGATAAAACCATTGATGTGAGTGTTCATCCGCCCTTCTGTTTCTCGGGTACTTGTGGGTAATTCTGCAGTTGTGCTTTCTACTCACTAGGAGGAGCAACAGTGCTTCAGAATGGAAGTCAAGGGCACTGTGGTTCTTTGTGGGAGCTAGGGGAGGTGGAGAGGGGAAGCCAGGACGAGGAATTAGATGCTAAGGCTGGACCTTTCCAGGAGCCTGTGTGATCCAGCTCACTGATTCTTCCCTGTATGTGGCAGGAAGAGCTCGAGCGGGACAAGAGGGTCACTTGGATTGTGGAGTTCTTTGCCAATTGGTCTAGTGACTGCCAATCATTTGCTCCAATCTATGCAGACCTCTCCCTCAAGTGAGTAGTGCAAAGAGAGGGAGGATGGAAATTGAGATGTCATACCTTCCCTCTCATTGTTTTTGGCCTTGATTTTTGCACACTGCAACCAAAGGCACCCCCCGACCCCCCCCAATAGCTGTACTTCCTCTTCTGTTGATCCATTCTCTCTTCTTTCATTATGTTAAATCATATATTCTCAGGTACAACTGTACAGGGCTCAATTTTGGGAAGGTGGACGTTGGACGCTACACTGATGTTAGTACACGGTATGTAAGGGCCTAGGCAGAGGGTCTAAGCAGGGAATCACTTGGAGTGGTGTATGCAGATGCATTTACAGAGTACTTTCTGGGTCCTGTAGGTACAAAGTGAGCACATCACCTCTCACCAAGCAGCTTCCTACCCTGATCCTGTTCCAAGGTGGCAAGGAGGTCATGCGGCGGCCACAGATTGACAAAAAAGGACGAGCTGTCTCTTGGACTTTCTCTGAGGTACAGGAAAGAGTGGGCCAGTGGTTTGCAGAAGGAGCCCACCCTGGGTTTGATTCCTAGCTCTGCCATTTGCCCACAAGCTTTGAGAGTGTGGACTCGTTTTTAGACCTCTTTCATGAATTCACTCAGCAAATTTATATTATTCTTGTACCATGTGCGAGACCTGCGAGTATTGGGAAACAATTATTAGTTAAGATTCCGTCTCAAAGGCCCTTATACCTACAGTCTGTAGGCCTTAGGCTCCTTAGCAATAAATTGGAGACAGTAATACTTGGCTCACAGGGTTGTTTTAAATGTTACATTAGATCGTGTGCTCGCAGTGACTTGCACATAATAGGTATTTAAATATTAAGTTGACTTTTCCAGGTACCCAAAAAAGAGATTTAGGCTCTTCCTTTCCTAAACTGCGTCTAAATACGTCTTACTTCCCAGGTCTGAAGTCTCCTTTTCCAACTTGAACCCTGATGTATGCATCTCTTTTGTGCAGGAGAACGTGATCCGAGAATTCAGCTTGAATGAACTGTATCAACGGGCCAAGAAGCTATCGAAGGCTGGAGATAATATTCCTGAGGAGCAGCCTGTGGCCCCAACTCCCTTAGTAGTGCCAGATGGGGAAAGCAAGAAGGACAAATAGGCTCCCTGCCTTGTCAGTGCCTCTGGTCAATCCCCGGCACCTTTGAGGCCCTGCCCCTTCTGTAACCACAAGCCCGAGGCCTCTGCCTTTTATTTATGTTTTCCCTGTTTGGCTGTGCCTGGGTAGGACAGGGTGCTGCTTCTGGTTTTAAAGAAGCATCCAGGGAATTGACAGGTACTCCTCCAGGAAGGCCTCCACTGCAGTGGCCAGCTGTTTCACTGGAGGGAGATAGCTCATGTGATGGAGGAGGAAATGCTTTCCTTCCAAACTTGGGTCAGTGTGTCAAGTGCTGTCCGCCACTCACATCTCCATTATTCCTTAGTGGACATACACAGACTACTTAAACCCTAATATAAGATGCCAGGGTACAGAATCAACGCTAAGATTTTTCCCAGGACCCTAACCTCTTTAGGCCCTTCTGGCTTGGTCTGTGGCCTTCATTAGAAAATATAAACCTAATCTTGTCACTGGTCCCAAGGAGAAACCGTTAACCGCAGGGTTTTCTCATGAAGATAGTATTGAATAATGTTTGATGGAGACCGGGAGGAAGGGGAATAGAGGTTTGAGACCTTCCTTTGGCGTGGTGGGCCTGGGGAAGAAAGCCCCCCTGGGCAGGATTGGGGTTTCACTTACCCTCCTATCTATCCCCCCACACCCAGTTAGTTGATGGTTTCCCATAATAAAGAGACTGGGATTTCCTTTTGATTGTGCCTTTATCCTTGCGTGTTAAAAAGTCAGGCAACGGCCAGCCGAGTGGCTCAGTTGGTTAAGAGCTCGCTCAAGTGTGAGTGCTCTGAGCGACGGGGTCGTGGGTTTGATTCCCGGCCGAGATGAGCCGCCAACAGCTAAAAAAACCCAGGCAACTGCAGAGGAATTCTTTACTTCCTCCTTAACTTCAAACGCCATTCTGATTAGTTTCACCAAATGCCAGGCATTGGTCCCCAGGATTGGGGCGAGTTGGGGAAGGCCAGTTTCCATAAACCCAGTACCGATCGCACCGACTTATATTGTAGACTTGATTCGGGATTGGTCCGCGGGTCCCAGGGAGGAGGTTTTGAGGGCTGGGGGTTGAGTTCATGGTGTTCACTAGCCCGACGCGCTGTTACAGAAAAACCAGCAGCCAGTCTTGTTTTGAGATAACCTAGTTCGCGCCCCTGCTGTGCTCACCACCCCCTCCCAGGCGCTGGTGGTTCGGTCTTGCTCCCGGTACCTCCCCCACCCTGCGTGCAGAGTGGCCGTGCCGGGAGGTCCCGCCTTCCGTCCACGTGTTCGCGGGCGCCGGGCTTTCCGCTGATTGGAAGGTTTTGTTCTGGGAGCCGAGCTTTCTGGCCTGCGGTTTGGATCTCGGAGTGGGGCAGTGCGCTGTTCTGTGGCCGCTCAGTGGCCACGTCTGCACCCTATTCCCGCCCCAGGTCGGCTTGGTTCTGGGCCGGGCTCCAGGCGCCATGGCTTCCCGCGGGAGGAAGCGGAAGGCCGAGACGGCGGTGGTCGCGGCCGCCGACAAGCGGGAGAAGCTGGCTGGCGGCCAGAATGGAGTGGAGGAAGCGACCGTGGTTATCGAGCATTGGTGAGGGAACTGGAGAGTCACGGGGATGGGGGCAAGGGCGTCGCAGACCCAGGGCCCCCGTCTCTGACCCTCTCCGTCTCTCCGTAGCACGAGTTGACGCGTCTACGGGCGCAACGCCGCGGCCCTGAGCCAGGCGCTGCGCCTGGAGGCCCCCGAGCTTGCAGTGAAGGTGAACCCGGCCAAGCCCCGGCGGGGCAGCTTCGAGGTGACGCTGCTGCGCCCGGACGGCAGCAGTGAGTGGGGATCCGGGTCTGGGGGGAGAAGGCATGAGTCCGAGGGGAGGAAGGGCTGGGCTCAGAAACCGCGGGGAGATTAGTAACTTCATTCGGTCTTTTCCCAGGTGCGGAGCTCTGGACTGGGATTAAGAAGGGGCCCCCACGCAAACTCAAGTTCCCCGACCCGCCAGAGGTGGTGGAGGAGCTGAAGAAGTACCTTTCGTAGGGAGGTTTGGGCAGAAGTCCTCATGCTGAGGTTTGAAGTGGGCCCGGGGATTAGGGAGGGATTGGGTTGGTCTCGTGGCTATTTTGGAAGCAGCCCTGTTATCCGCATTTCACACAGGAGCTACGTTTTTTCATAACTCGAACTGTCCTCAGTATTTTCTCTGTTTGGGAATACTCTTCCCTTTTACTGGTAGAAAAAAACGGAAATCGTAAAAAACAAATCAGTTTCCTATCTAGTGTGCCCTTTGCTACCCTCCAGGTTTCATTTAATCGTCCTTGAGCTAAGTTGTAGAACTGATGGTAATGTAATGATTTATAGAAATGCAATTTATGTCCTTTGAAGATACAGTTAACTAATGTCCTGGAGCTATGGACCATTTTTGTATTTTTGTTAAAAAATTCATTTTCCACATCTCTGATGGCATGTGTTTTGATTCTTTGAAGTGGTTAAGTCAAGTCCCATCCGTTCTCTGCTTTATAACAAAAACAAAATCATTGACATGTGTTTATTTATATGGGTCGTGATTTTCCCCTTTTATTAGCAAAATCTTTTTGTGTAACTTCTGGTGTGCTTACTCCTACCGTGTTTATTCCTAGTATGGCCTGTTAATAGTCCCATGTGATAACACTGCATTACAGTACTCACTTCTGGTCACATGGGTTTGACCCTGTCTTATCCCTAGTGCTTCATTCAGACCCTGCTTTGGCATGTGGTCAGGCACTTGATATGCTGATTGAGATGGGGGAAGATGCAATCCTTGAGCTCTCCTGAGTGTGGGGTTCAAGGGTTGGGGACGGGGCATGTCTTCCTCAGGCTATATGATTGTCTGGATCCCTTCTCTAACCTTTCCCCCCTCATTTTCACAGCCTTCTGTCCCTGGTGGTGTTGGAGCATTTATGACGGAACATGGCCAAACTTCAGTCATGTGCCTGAAGCTATGGTTTCTACCCCTCCAGAAACGATGGTTCAGTTGTGAGGCAACCCTCTAGTAAGGCATTGAGAAGTTCTTGGATTTGGTTTAATAAAAGTTGAAATAAAGTATTTGAGTAATAAAATAAAACTTAATCTTATGGTAAGGGGTAAACAAAGCCAGCCTTACGCAATGGATTGGTCCCTTATTTTTTTTCATAGTCTGAGGTCACCAAATAACCTGCAACTCCTAGGTTCTCTGGTAGAGCATGTGAAATACTTGTAAAAACGATGGAAATACTTGTAAAAATGGGAAAAGTAATTTATTTTTTTAAAAAGCAACTATCTTTTCAACTCACTTCTTAGAAGTGATGATGGAAGTACCTGTTCCTGGCCCCTGTGGAGGTTTTGGCTAGATTTCCCATACTGGTAGTGAATAAGCCCCACACGTAAGGTGCTGGACCACGTCCTGTCACTCCCACCCACTTTGTGTTCCACTCCAGCACCACTTCACACCCTCTGGAACGTTTTCTCATACATCAAACTCCTACCATGGAGGGTGGTAATTTGTTCTGAATTAGCAGTGCCTCATAACCTGGGAAACCTGGCCTTGGCTATTACCTATGATCCACTAGAGTTGGGGACCACACGGCTTATTATTTCACTTGTTTGTCATTAACTGTAAAATAGATTGTAAGGAAACAAGATGGTTCAAATTCATAATTTTCTACCCATGGTACTACTTGACTTATGCCTAACTCCCAAAGCCTGAGGAGGGGAGGACAGGATATGTGCTAGCCTCTCTGCCAATACCTTTTGCCAGCCAACATTTTCCATCCTCCCAGTGCCCTTAAACTGCCTTCCCCACTCCACTACGTTATGATGTCTACCTCTGTTTCTGACTCTGAGGAAGGGTCAGGCCATACGGAGGGGATACTGGTGGGCACCAACTTTCCCTCTGATGTCCAGTCTACCACATCAATCGCTTCCTCCTGTGGGCTGGCAGGAAGTGGGTCCAACAGCTCAGAGTTGCTCAGTACCTCCTTGCCTGCTTCTGGAGCAGGGTACAATACCTCATCCATAGTCAGGGACACTTCCAGCCCAGTCTGTGCCCAGTTTGAACAAGGAGGTGAGAGGTCTCCGTAGGACTTTTGGGGAGGGTCAAGGGAGTCAGTGTGTACAAGTTTGTCTCTCTGATCATCCAGTTGCTCAGAGCTGGTAATCTCTAGGTCTTGAGTCCAAGAGCTTTCTACTGAAAGCACCTCCCCTTCACTCATCTCAGAGGGCATGACAAGGGGGTTAAGGGACTCGACTAGCTCTTTGTTCTCACCAACAGGTTCCTTTTCCAATCCTGTGAGCTCCTGGGGCCAGAGTTCCATGTCTGGTAAATACCATTCTTCCCCTTCGATCCAGTTCTTTCCTGTGTCTGTCAGGTGGTAACTAGGGGTCCTGCAGCCCTCAGGTCTGGGACTCTCCAGAGACGCTGTAGGTGGTTCAATGTCTGAGCCACACAGCATGAAGTCCAGGATCTCTTCTAGCTCACTGGTGGCAGCGGCACTTGTGATTCGGTACTCCTCAGCTTCACAGGGCTGCCCGAGCAGGCCTGTGTCAAATGAATATGGCTCTCTGCAGTCGACGTCGAACCCAGGTTCCTTCCCTGCCAGCTCTGGACTGGACCCAAACTCAGACTTCACAGGGGGGCCTGGGGAGTGGCTAGCAGAAAGAATGTCTTGTAGCCTAGAGCACACTAGTGGGGAGTCCTGACACAGGTCTGTTGTAGCAGATGACACTTCCTGCAGGTTAACCGAGGATGGCTGAATCCCTGGCCGCTCTCCTGAGTCTCCAGGTTCTGGGATCTGAGGACTATCTTGAGAGTTTTTGAGGGGAGGCTCTTGCACCACCTCCCAGCAGGTCCCGTTGACAGTCTTACGGAGTTTCACTCTCCCAACCTGCCCCTCCTCTGCAGCCGAGTCCGAGTTAGATGCCCTGACTTCAGGGCTCCGCTTCTTACTCCCGCCCGTCTTTCCAAGGCCAGATGGGCTTGGGGTGCTCTGTAGAAGATTAACTCTCCCTGGTTTCTGCTTGTCCTCTGGTACTTCTTTCTTTATACTTTTTTGTCGCCAAAGACGCCGGCCAGGGGCTGCAGGCACTGAGTTGGGTCCACTTAAAATGCTAGAAGGTTTGGGTACACAGACATCAGGAGATGGCTTTGAACGACTCAGTCTGATCTTTCTGGGCAATAGCTGCTCATCCACAGAGGGGTCCACGCTGGCGGGGGAAAGAGCTGCAGGACTCTTGTTCTGTTCAGGCCCCTGACTGTTGCTTGATGGTGAAGAGTTTTTTTCTGGTGGAGGAGGGCAGGCTCTGGCCTTCCTCTTGAGCACAAGAGTGTCAGACAAGTTCTCTGCATTCTGTCGGTCACTCTTGTCCTGGGACCCTTCCTCCGTCCCTGACGACTTCAACCTCACTGCCCCAAGAGGACAGGGAGTCTGGGGAACAGGCAGTGGCGGTCGAGGGTGGTGGCTGGATGCCACCACCCTGGCAGAGATTGGTGCAGCACTTGGAGGTTGTAAGCACTCCCGGTTCAGTCTTCTGCCCTGAGGGGCCTTCACCAACTTCCCACCCTCTAGCTGAAGGGATTCTAGCTCAGATACTTGGAGCTGACGGGCAGCAGAAAGCACATCCTGGGCTTCTTCTCGAGATACTTCCATCTCTGAGGTATACAAGAAATCTATCAGCTTCCTAAGTATCCTGATCTTCAAGCCCCCCAGCTCCAGCACCACCTTCCGACCAAGAGCTGGCCTCTCCCGCTCAAGGCGCTCGGTGAAGAAGGGGCTGCAGGCAGACAGGATGCAGCAATGGGCGGGGACTGCCTCACCTGGGGGGAAACCCAAACACTGTTATCTCACGCAGACTGTCATGTTCCTGAGCCGAGCAGATACCCCAAAAGGCTGCCCCTTCTCTCAATTTCTCTCCATGGAAATTTAGGAGAAATTTGTTCCTTTTGCTTTCCTGGAACCTTCTGCCATTATCTAGCTCACTCAGTTTTTATCCTTCAAAATGTAGTTTAGACATCACTTCTTTCAGAAAGCCTTCCCCCACTCTACCCTGTGTCTGGGTCAGGTGCTCCTGGGCACAGAGAGGTGCTGTAGCTGCTATCACAGCACGTAGCTATCTGGATTGCCCATCTCCTTGACTAGACTGAGCTCTGTGAGGACAGAGACCATGCCTGTCTGTCTTGCTCACTTAGGGATAGCCAGAGCTTGACTAGGGGATCAGGTACTTGCTGAATAAGTTTTTGTGACTCACGAGAATTTAAAAAGTTTTATAGAAGCTGCTTGTGGTCTAACAGAAAAGTCATGAGCTTTGGATATGGATGGCTTCAATTACCAAAGTCTTGCTGATGACTCCAGGGTCCTACCTCTGCCCAGATATCTTTCTTGAGACATGTGATTGCCTGCATGTCTACATTGATGTCCCACAAGTACCTCCAATGCAACCTTTCTACAAAACGAATTTGTCATTTCCCGTCCTCCAAAACCTCCCATTTTTTCAAAATAAGGCATCACAGTCACCCAATTACCCAAGCCTGAGCACTAGAAGTCATCTTTGATTCTTCCTTCTCCCTTACCCACTGCATCTAATCAAACATTAATTTTAAAAAAGCTAATACTTTGGGGCCGGCCAAGTAGCTCAGTTGATTAAGAGCACCAGCTCTGAGCAACAGGGTTGCCAGTTCAATTCCCACATGGGCCAGTTAGCTGTGCCCAAGCTGAGCTGCCAACAGGTGACAGGATGGCTCAGCTGGTGAGAGCATGTGCTCCTAACAACAAGGTTGCCAGTTCGACTCCCACATGGGATGGTGGGCTATGCCCACCCAGAACTACAACTGAACACGGCACCTTGAGCTGAGCGGCCACGAGCTGCCGATGGGCGGACGGATGGCAACTGGACTTGGAGCTGAGCTAGCTGAGTCCTCTACAACTAAGATTGAAGGACAACAACTTGGCTGTTCCCCTTCCCCAATTCCCCAACACTGTTCCCCAATAAAGTCTTGGGGGGGGGGAAAAAAAGGCTAATACTTCTTGAGTCCTTATTATGTGCCAGGTATTGTTCTAAGGGTTTTACTAGTATTCATTTAATCTTTACTGGAACCCTATAAAGTAGCTATTATTATAGTTGAGTAAATTGTGGCATAGTTAAGTGATGTGCCCACAATTATGTGGTAAGTAGCACAAACAAAATTTAAACCCAGGAGGGTCTAGCTGCAGAGTCTATGCTCTTAACTGCAACAAGTATAAATTTAATAGCTTAAAAGCCAGAAAACTCTCTCAATGCCTTAGTTCAGGCCACCATTCCTTCTGTTTTGGATTACAAAACAGCCTCCTATCTGTGCTCAAGAATAATCCAATAATTCTTGTCATGCAGCCTGAGTGCTGTTTCTAACAGGTATCTGATCATGACCTTCTTAAAACCTTCAAATATAATTTCCAGTGTTCTGAGAACAAGACCTACTTCCTTTGCATAACACTTCAGACCTTACGTGACTGCTGCTAATTTCTCTAGCAATATCTGGTCAATACACTTCCTGTTTTTTGCACTGTAGCCATAATGAGCCACTCACAAATCCCTGGTCATGTCTCTAATTCTCTATATCAGCGGTTCTCAACCTGTGGGTTGCGACCCCTTTGAGGGTCGAATGACCCTTTCACAGGGGTCGCCTAAGACTATCGGAAAACAAAAAGATATTTACATTATGATTCATAACAGTAGCAAAATTACAGTTATAGAGTAGCAACGAAAATAATTTTATGGTTGGGGGTCACCACAACATGAGGAACTGTATTAAGGGGTCGCGGCATTAGGAAGATTGAGAACCGCTGCTCTATATGCTGCTGTCTGCGTGGGAAAATATTTCCCCACTTCCTCCTACTTCTATTTGTCATTCAGACCTCATCTAAGGGTTATTTCCTCGAAGAAAATATCCCTAATCCCTGTCCCTCAACCTCAAGTCTGTGAAGGATGCTGTATATCAGCCTATACCTACCCTAATATGTTCTTTATCATACTGCACAGTTACTTGAATACACTGGTTATTTGAATGTCCTCCCCTTACACGATTCCTTATAAGGAAAGACTTTTTGTTTTCATATATACTTTATGGCTATGCCAATACAGTGTACTAGCACATAACAGGTAATTGATACTTTCTTGTTTACTTTGAATTAAGGAATGAATCCCAACTCTGCACTTACAAAGCGAACTAATAGCAAGTCATATAATTCTCTAGGCCTCAATTCACTCACCTCTAGAACCGGAACCATATAACATCTATATCACAAAGTTGTTATAAGAGACACTACAGTATGTGTACTCTGTAAACTGTAGAGTGCTACACAATAATGGTTGTCATAATCCTTTTTGATAAATGAAGAAAATGAGCATTTGCCCATTTGTCACTTAGTTACTAAGTAACAAAGCTATGACTTAAACTCTTGACTCGTAGTACTGGGCCTTTTACACCATACCAGGCTCTACCTCATGCTGATTTAACATTTCAAGTAAAGAGAAGAGGTGGAAATAACGTATTTTTAGGTCTAGCAACAATGAACAGAAACCATCAATTTGGAGACAAGAAAAAAACATAATAGTTTCATCTATAAGTAACACATACTCATATTGTGCTTAGTACATTAAAAGCACTGTTCTAAGTGCTTTACGTGTGTTAACTCAATCTTCACAACCATCGCATTATCTTATTCATGCTTTATAGAATTTCTACTGTAAAAAAACTTTACAATTAGTTTCATTTTTTTCAAGAGAAAAAGCAGAGACTCATTTTCAACACCTGAAAAGAGTAACTGTCCTAGAAACAAACAGCTCATTACCAAATATCTTACAGTGCTCAAAAGCATTAACAACACATTTTTTTTTCTGGTTTTGTACTCCACTCCTTGGTCCTAAACTCATTTTATCTTATTCTATGGAGAGTTTTCAATTGAGTCCCCACTACAGTAAGTCCTCACTTAATGTCATCGAAAGGTTCTTAGAAACTGCAACTTTAAGTGAAACCACTATAAAGAAACCAATTTTACCATAGGCTAATTGATACAAACAAGAGTTAAGTTTTGTACAGCGTATTTCTGGTCACAAAAATGTCACCAAACTTCTAAATAAAGAACCAAAACACTTTTAATACTAAACATTGAAATAAATGTGAGCTATGCATACATTTAAGAAAGATTAGTAAAAACAAGTCAGGTAGTTATTTTCTAATATGCTTATTCCAGTTCAGGGTCGTAGGGGGCCAAAGCCTATCCTGGCAGCTCAGAGCTCAAGTCGAACCAATCCTGCCTGGAGAGGGCGCCCTTCCATCACAGGGCACCTACCTCCCCCCACCCCCACACACACTCGGATTAGCACAATTGAGACCTGCCAATTCACCCAACATGCACATCTTTGGGATGTGGAAGGAAACTGGAGCACTTGGAGAAACCCTGCGCAGATATGGGGAGAAAGTGCAAAATCCACACAGATAGTGGCCCTAGCCAGAATCGATTTTTTTTCCCTCATTAATGTTATAACAAAACAATGTTGAATGAAAGGACATTATTCAAGGACCTGCGGTAGTCTCTTACCTTCTGCCTGCAGAAGGACATCACAGAACACTCCACTCTGCTGCTGGTGATGGAGCTGCAGAAAAGCTAAGCGGAGGAATCGGGGATTCCTGTATAGGATTTTTGAACTAGCAGGAGAAAACATGTTGGTCTGTTAACAAACCTCCTAGGTTTTCACGGATCAGATTCCTGTGGGTGAGGGAAAATACATTTCAGAACCATGGTTATTTTGGTTTTTTTTGTCTTTGAAATGGCAGGGAAATTTTTAAAAGTGAGAGATTATAGCATGAGTTGGGAGCCATAAGCCCAGAAATGATGCCAATGGTATCTAAAAGAAAAAATATCACAGTGGTTACATGTAGGGAGCTCAGAGATAAGCCTAGATTTGAATCTCAGGTAAATGACCCAAGTTCTCTGAGTCTCACTTTTCTCATTTATGAAATGGGAATAACAGTAGTTACTTCATAGGGCTGTTTTTAAAGATTAAATGTGTCAATGCAGGTAAAATTGCTTAGCACTGTGTATACCTGGCACAAAATAACTATCACCCCCCCGCCCCCCACGGTAGCGGTTATTACTCTTAAACCTTCATCATTCATATTACCACTGAGACTCAACTCCTACAGTGCTGACTACTCCTATTCTTCCTGAACACCACACTTCTGAGTTCCATGGATATAATCCTCAATTTAACACTTAAGCAAAAATCCTGATATAAAATTCTCACTTAAGTGTACACACCTTTTCTCTGAGCTCACTCTACCACACTAACCAGCAGAGGGTGCACAGTAAAGAAAAGCTGCTGGACTTGGTAGGAAGGTCTTGCACAGAAATAAGAACATTGCCACCCTTGGGTCAGATGTTCTTGACCACAGCAAGCCTGATTCCACCTGAAACTGGCGAAGAATTTGACCTTTAGGTTTGTTTGTCAGTCTGTTTGATTACCTGGCTAACAATGGAGCAAGGATAATTAAGCATTCTACCGCTCTTAAAACAAACTGGATAGTCTGACTTAAGGCTAACTACACTTCCAGCTTTTTGCACTGAAACCGGTTTCATCCACTGCACAGCTGGTGTTCCTTTCCTGGCATGCTGTTTTCTGTCAGGTGGAACTAAGGATCCGAAGAGTTCACGTCAAACTACCAGGAAAAAAGAGTGAAAAGGTAAATTAAGAAACAGTAGATTCAGGGCCGGCCGAGTGGCATATTGGTTAAAAGTTGGCTTGGGACGTCAGCTCTGAGTAACAGGGCCCCGGTTCAGATCCCACATGAGGGCCAGTGACACTGCCCTCTACAGCTAAGATGGTGAACAACAGCTCGACCTGGAGCTGGGCTGCAGAGAGTCCCCAGGGACGGCATAGGCTGCAGTGAGGCTCCAGTGGCCAGCGACTGATCTGTCTCACCCGGGAACAGCGCAATGATATTACCAACATGGGCCAGTGAAGCAACGTCCTCCACAACTGGACTGAAGAACAAAAGAACAACTTGTCTGTTCCCCTCCCCCAATTCCCCAGCACTGTTCCCATCCATCCCCCCAATTCCCCAGTACAAAATCTTAAGAAGAAAAAAAAAAAAGTAGATTCAATTCCCATCACAGCCAGAGAGATGGGGGTTGAGGTTGGCAGCTGTTGCAAGGGCCCAAACTGAGGCCCTGGGGAAGGTTCCCAATCCGCCAGCACCTGGCCTTGCCACCAGACCCAACCTGGATTAGCTCTTCAGCAGGAGTTGCTCCTGCCGTTCTCTCTGTGCTTGGGTCCTCTGTCCAGACTGCCTTGCTTCCTCCCTATGTCCAGCCTCTTGCAGGGAAGATTTTCAAAGAAAGCAGCACAGGTGGGTGAATCGCCTGAGAATTCGTCTCCCGGTCAGGGCGAAAGGAATCGGAATCGGGGTTGGCAGAGAAAGCAGGGCTTCAGGGAAGGCCCTGCAAAGCTGGGCGGCCCCACAAGCTCCGGGCGCCCTGGCCCAACCCTTTTAAGAGACCGCCTTGGCGCAAAGGTTTCTGGGAATGGAGCGTGGGTATCCCGTAGGCCCGAATTCAGAGTTCACCCTCACCACCAGCTCCAGCCACAGGGTCTCTGCAGTCACGCACAAGTGCCCTTGTCCGGCTGCGGCACTCGGCAACCTCATGCACTGGAAGGTGATGACAGGGAGCGCCGTCTGAGGACACGGACTCGCGCCACAGGCCTCGCACCGCTGCCCTCGCGCACTGCGCGTCGCGGGGCCGACGTCCTTCCTCCTCCCCAGGCCTCGGGCTTACGTCTGTCAGAATACGTCATCCCCATTGGCCGAAAGCTCCTGGGAGAGCCAATCACAGGAAGAGGAGCGCTTTGGGCGGGAGGCTAAGTATTGAGGGACTCGAGAGTGGAGGAAAGATGGCCTGGTCGCGAGAGGTAGGGGGAAGGGCCCGCTAGGGAGGCATTCTGATGGCAGCGGACTTCTCGCTTAGCGTTCAATACTGTGAAAAGAGGGTCAGGATCCTTCAATCAGGCAGGCTCCAAGGCGGCTGAAGGACACCTCCAGCTTCTCTTTGAAGAGACTGCAAATGGCCGCTTTTGGCCCTGCTAAGAGGGCTTCAGGCTTAATGGAGGAAAAAGCCCCAGGATAGCTCTCCTCGCACCTTGCCCCCATATCTCTAATCTGGATATCTCCTAGGGCCAGGGATGTACCGGAACAAAGTCATTGGTCTAGTTTCTGAATTCAGGTTTTTCTCAGATTCCACTCCAGCCCCAAATCTTGGAGAATTGGTGACTGGGGGTGGGGGATGGGGTTACAGAACTTCCTGTCTGGAGTGGTCTCCCGTGACCTTCCAGAGATAGTTTATTTAGCGCGCTTCCTGACTGGAAACAGCTGTTTTCAGGGATGGTATTAAAAATTAAATGATTTCAAGATTAAACATTTAGCAAGAATGCCAATCTACGTTATCAGACTGGACAGCGGGTCTTTCCCCTGTGTGCATTAGGCCCCCGGTCCTCGCTTTGGTTAGATGTTGCCTGATGTCCAGCTCTGGATGAAAGTGGCTGAATCCAAAGCCATTGATGACAAAGTGTGATGAATTGAAACGGAGCAGTCCCCCGCTGAGGTCAACTGGAGACAGAAAAGGAAGACATCTAAAAGGGAACCTGGAAAGGGACTAGACGTGGAGAGGTGAGTAGTATAGTGCCATCAAATATATCTATTTATATCTAATACTTTTTCAAAAGGATTTGGGGTAGTTGACTGAAATGTGGGGTTGCAGAGGAGTGTTGGGCATTTCCAAGTCAGGTAATGTTTTCTCTAGTTTGAGGCCTCTGCTCTGAAGATGGAAAAAGAAACAAGAACAGAAGAGGGGACAGCAGGTTAGCTTAGTTGGTTAGAGCTGTAGTGCTCATAACAAAAAGGTTGCAGGATTGATTCCCACATGGGCCACTGAGATGCACCCTCCACAACTAGATTGAAACAACTACTTGACTTGGAGCTGATGGGTCCTGGAAAAACACACTGTTTCCCAATTAAAAAAAAAAAATTAAAGAACAGAAGACATTTTTGGTTGTAGTTGTCATAGTTTAAGGAGGAAGCAGTTTGTGAAAGGACATAAAACTTACTAGAAGGACAGATTTTTGATACTGCTTGCGTCACACAAAAGCAAGCAAGCAAAAAAAAAAAAAAAGACAGAAGGCAGAACAGTGTTTGTTTATGGCATCTGTCACTGTGGAATCAGGATGTGATTAAGCAAGTGGGGTACCAGTACAGTTATAGGTAATTCTGTGGAGTTGTAACAAAAATATAAATATTCTGACCTCTCATGAATATGTTTTTATCAGGATTAGATTCATTTTCAAGAAATAGGGAGGACTCACTTTTTTTTTTAATCCAATATCATTTTAGTTAAATCTTGTGTTAGTAGAATTTCTAAAGGGAATGGTAAATGGCCATCCTACCCAAGGCTGCAAAAATGACAAACTTTGGATGGTAATGTGTAGCCACCAGAGGGTAGAAAGGAGTAAAAATATATTTTTTTCCTCTGTATGGACAGCCAGTGTTTTTTTCAAGTTGATTTTTTTTCTCTCATTTATTTTCCTAGGCAATTATTGTTTTAATCTATTTTGGAAGTAGATTCATCACAGCTCAGCACTCTGACCTATATAATAATCTTAATATTTCTTTTTTAAATACAGTTTTATTTTCCAGCTCTTCCCTAATCTTTCACCATGTAATGGTTTCTTGTCAACTGACAACTTAATGTAATATTCAATGCATAATAAAACAAAACAAAAAAGGAAGGAAAAAATCCCCCCAAACCGAAAGCAATGATGTATCTCTAAACATATCCTCAACCCATTGACCTCTCTCTGTTTTTACGCTGCCACTGTAGTGAACTCCATAGACTTTGGAATCAGATTGCTGAGGGTTTACTTCTTAGCCAGATGAGCTCAGGCAAGTTTCTTAACCTTGCTGAGTGAGCCTTGATTTCCTCATCTGGAAAATGGTGGTAATAGTGTTCTATGGTGGTGCTTTAGAAGTTACAGCTAATGAGTGCAAAATCCTTCTCACATGATATAGTCCATCATGGGTTGCTATTATTGGGCAATGATGAGCCAATGAAAGTTTTTTTGGGCAGGATAGATACTGATAATAATAACAACTTATTCTTAATGAGTTTATACTATGCCATATATTGTTTTAAGAACTTTATGCGTATTTTAATTCTCACAACAGTCCTGTGAGAGAGATATAGTTATTATCTCTATTTTATAATTAAGGAAACTGAGGCACATAGAGATTATATAATTTGTCCAAGGTCACATAGTAAGTATACTTAGAGAGGAGGAAGGTTTGAAGCCAGGCAGTCTGCCTGCAGAACCTATGCTCTTAACCACTATTCTAGATTATGGAAACTTTATGAAGATTCATTTGGCAGCAGTCTACAGGATAGATTTTAGATTTTTCAGTAAGATAGAAAAAGGAAAATTTCAATTTATTACTATCTTTGTTTAGTAACTAGTGAATGACCATAGAATACTAGTCTTTGTTAAGTTTGTAAAAAAAAAAAAATCCAATCTCTGACCTTCACCCAGAACATACTAAGATCACTCTTTACTCAGAAGAATACTTGTATAATCCTTAAGTGTAAAAAGAGAATGTATGAACTAGATTATTTTAAGCTTGAAGTTCACAAAGAAAGTGAATTTTCTTGATGTGAGATTTTCCTTACACATGCTGTTGTCGCCTCTAAATATATTGCTTGTTTATTGGATTCCGTTTGTTCGGCCCCTCAAACCGATATTATTTTAGTTTGGGGGCAAATGGGAAGGCAGTGATTGTCCTCAACAGCCTAGTGGATTCAGCTTTCCTCTAGTTTAAAGTATAGACGCTAAGAACTGTTAACAAGTGCAGACATTTATTTTTTCTAATTAGCTCTAATGCAGTTAAAACAAAACAATGAAATTGAGAGTTTACCTCAGATAGCTCCTACCATCCCAATCAACACATAATCCTATTTTTAGGATTTTTCTCTCTCTTCCTTCCTGTCTTCCTTTGGGAGAATGCTTTGGGGTAGAAAGCAACAAACCAAATAGCCTACAGGCAAATAAAATCAGCTCTTTTCTCTTTCCCCACCCGGAAAGGAAGGGAGAGGGAGCGAGAACCCCACCATCAAAGAGAACTGATTCTTAGGCATGCCCTTCTAAAAATCCCTTGTTCCTTCAGCCCCCCTGGAGCTCTGCAGTAATTCTTAAGAGGTTGTACGGTCTCTACTTTAAATATAAATATATATATAAAACTTCCCCCTGTCTTGTCTCCTCCTCTCTCTCCTTTTTTTTTTCCCCCATTTCCTATAATAAAGTTTCCTATTGGATAAAATCAGCTCTCTGATTTATGCCTGGTTCCTATTGGAAGTTCTCAGGGGCTGACATCACTTAGGAAAGCGAGGGGGTAGGGCTGCCAGATCAGTTTGTCACCACCCAGGCTCCCTATCCTTTGGCTGGGTGCAACTTCCATTTTAGGTGTTGGAGCTGAGAGAAAAAAAAAAAAGAGGGAGAGAGAGAAAGAAGACCAGGAAAGATCCTGAAAGGAGGAAGAGGTCCCGAAAAATCAACTACCTTGCTGGATTTGTCTTTCTCAGCACATTGACGAAGTCTTGGGTTTCTTTCTTAAAGGACTGGTTTTTAGAAGTCCACATTTGAGGTGTGTGCCTTTTTTAAAAATGTGTACAGACGGGTAAAGGAGGACAAGCCAAGTCGAATTTTTGTCTTATGGTAACCAGAGGAAATTTAAAAGCGAGAGTCTGCTATGCTGATGGGTGACTTTTAAGCAATTATTAATTTTTCTTTTACTTACTTTGGGGAATTGTATTATATAAAAAAGAGGGTAAAATATTCAAGACCCAGAAACAAACTTCTAGGTCTCTCTAATAGAGGGAGTTGAATAGATTCAGAAAGGTGAGAGCAATTCTGTAAATTTACATTTTGGTGTGTTCTTTGATTTTATATATTTTTCTGGATTAAGCTAACAAACTTCTGTTTTCAGAGCCCAAACCAAAGGTTGGTCTTTTTTTGGCATGTTGTGTGTGGGTTGGGAAAGGAATTTGTCCGGGTCGGAAGCTAGTTATACATATGGCTCTTCATATGTTTCGAAAGTTTTATTTTTTCTTTTATCATTAGATTTGTGGAAATGGAAAGTTGCAGGGAGTTTTGCAGCTTAAATGGTGGTATTTTTTTCCCCCTAGAGTTTGAACGGGCCAGATCGGTTTCAGCCCTGCTGTTCTGGGTGGGTCCCTCTTTTACTTTTCCAGGTGTGGTGGGTGGGAGCCTCATTCTCCTGCTAGACGTTGCCTCCCTGCAATGCCTTATAAAAGAAAACAGATGGGTCCATGTTAAATGAATTATTATCCCCTTTTCTTCTAAAAACTACCTTTGATGGCAAAGATTTGTATGTTCAATCTGCAAATACGATAATGTTTGGTTTATGTGCTTAAAGGGATATTCTAATCATGCTTAAAGGGAAATTTTAAT